ATTCAATGAAATATTCTATTTCAGAAGATATCAAATATTTGAAAATTAGACAATTAACTGAGTATAAAACTATAACTGAGGAAAATATAATGAGAATTTTCTGTAATCAGATCAATCACATAACTAAATTATCTTTGCTAGTAAAAATTGCAACAGCACATAGATATTTCTATATTAAGTGCAGTGAGACTGCTTATTGTGACCATTTCTAAAAGTGAACAGTATTTCTGAAAACATAAGTAAATAATGTTATTTAATATTTCTGTCATATCCAACTTTTACAAAAAATCAGAATGATTTGTCTCTATAAGATATATTTATTGCAGTTTCTCTATAAACTGTAAGCAGCTGAAACAAACCAATGAAACACATCGTTTGAAACATTAAACTTATTATTATGAATTTTGTACATAGATAGATAATTTTAGTGAAATAATATGTAGAATTGTATTTCTTTTGTATAATGCAAGATAAAAGCATAAAGAAGCAAAACTTGCCGGTAAAGTAAGAATGCAGGGGTAAGTTTACTTAACATTGAGTAAATGGTTATCTCGCTAATTTGGCCACATATCGCCAAACTGGCAACGGTTTTGGTGACTAATTTTTGTAGCCAAATTTGGCAAGAAATCACTGGTGCCATTTGGTCCGGTCCCTATATTGTCATAATAGGCATAGTAATTGAATAACTATAATTGATATTCTGCGTAGTTGTAATTGTAATTTCACCATCATGTGCCTTCCAGTAATTTCGAGAAGCAGAAAGTACTAGAAATATCTCGGCAGTCGGGTGAAATCGTAAGACCAGAGAGAGAGCATCCGCTTTCGGTTGTTAGTTCAGCGTCAGTCAGAATATTGAGATATCTGTGAGTTAGCTTTGCTCTTTAGATGTGTTTTGCATTATGTTGTGTTTAACATTGATAGTAGTTTGAAATGTAACTACTGATTGTACTCTGTGATATTGTGAAGAGTTGTACGACTGTTTTTGTGGAATGCTCCAGATCTCTGAAGTGTTTCTTTTGATAAAATAAATTTTATCAATGTATCATCAGAGCTGTGTGCATTCAAGCTATTATGGACCCGTTCTCACACAGCTTTATTATTTAAAGTGCACTGAGTTGTCAAAACTGTCCTGGTTTGGCTCTGGAAAAGCCTGATTATGCTAATTTTAATTGAGGGGTAAGAAAAATATTGTATTGAAAATAATCTGGGATTATTGAGACAATTCACAGACCTGATACTTTACTCAAAAGTGGTGTAGTTTCTCATTACCATATACACTTTTGATAACATTTAATTTTATTTTGAAATGAAGGTACTAATATTGATTTGTATTTATGGTACTAATTAAATAGCTGTACCAAACCAGTAACGGTAGAAAACGAACAGTGTTTTTGAAAAGTAATGCAGTTAAAAAATAGAGAATTCATATTAGAATATGAGAATTTCAAAAGATTCCAATGTACCTTCAGAACTTCTCAAATAGGTGGACTGCTGAGCTTTTACTTGGTCTAAAGTAAAGCCTAGTCTTTGGAAAATGTTGTCCTCAAGGCTGTGTCTCTAATCCTACTTTATGGTATTACTACTTAAGTATCTCTTTAGTTACTATTTAAAAATTGCATTGGCAGACAATTTTTACGTAGGAAAGTTTTTGTCTATTCTCTTTAGAGTATAGCTGGTGCTGGTTTTTGTGTTCAACCGGATGGCCTTTCAGAAGCTTATCTATAACCTTTCAAAAAGTAAAGCTCTGCTTCTTTCAAAAAAATTTTGATAAAACTATTGCTCTCTCTGACTCTTGTTGTTTCATGTGTGGAATTTGTTATCGATTTTAAATACACAAATATCGTAATAGGAATTTAGCATTGAAAAAGCACATTGAATTTCTCTCTATTAAATGTAAAAACATTATTAATGATCTTGATTGAATTGGCAAAGAAACTTTTGGAGTCTTCTATGTAATCTAGAAATTAGCATATAAGCAATGTATTGCGCCTTTCATTTTTTGGGTTTTCATGCTTAATTGTATGTCATTAAGAAGATTCAGCAAAGGAATCTGAGAAAGATTAAAATAATTCTTCTTTGTGTTTGTGGTTATAGGATACTAAATTATGAGACTACGTTTGTTCTTTCAAGTTCTTCATTCTTACATTTGTTCTGCATAAATGGAAATTTGCCCTTTTGTGATAGTTCTTATTTGGCAAAAAAAAATTCTGTGATTGTATGCAGAATACTAAAAAATATTTTCCTATAGTTTGTCTTACAGATAGCATATAAATGAATAAATTACTTAGTCTGCCATCCACCGTTTTTAAGACTGATCTGAGGTTTACTAATTTAAGCACCATATTTAAAGTGAATAAGCAGAATTTCTCTATTTTGCTTGTGAAGTCGATCAAGGAGAATGGGACTTTATCTTCAAGATACTTTATTTTTTCTGATTCTCTTTATTCTTTGCAATTTTTGAGCAGTGTTGGAGCTCAAACAAACTGGTAATAAAAGCTTTCACATGTCAAATTAGTTAGAATCTTGGAAATGGATTTTTGTATTACTTATGTACTGGACTCTTCATACAACAGTCCTTTTATTATAATTAGCTTTTGTGTGAATGAAATAAAGAAAATACTACATTTTATAATGTTGAGCATGCTAAAAAATACTTTTACTAATCATAAACTAGATTCGGAGTCTTTCTGTGTTGCAAACTTCTTAGTATCTTTTCAAATCACCTTTTTCATTGCAGTCTAAGATCTAGTAATTTGTGTGACTATTAAGAAAGGATACATCAGAATGTGGAAATTTAATTTACTTCTATAGAGCTTCTGTTGGCTCGAGATTGTGCTTTAAGAATGATTTAAAAAGTTCGAGGTGACTTGATCAGTGAAATGATGTTTTTGTGAAGTCTAGACTCCTGTTCTGTGCCTTTGTTGTTTTATTAGTGCACAGAGTGTTTAATTAGCCTGTTTTTGTAAGCTGCTGAGTTGTATGTTTGTGATGTACTGGGAATTTATGCATGTTTCTTCATCCCTCTCCTTCCAAAAAAATAATTCATGAATACAGTTTAATTTAGTTGTATCTGAATTTATAAACTGCATTAAGAATTTTGTATATTTTTTGGTCACTATTTTTAAGGTGAAGGAAGCTTCAATAAACTTAAAACCTTCGTCCAAGAAAAAACTGCAAACGTGTCTGTTCTATATATAAAATCTTAATAAATTAATGAAGTAGATTTTGAATGTATTAATAGCTGTCTTCCTTCATTAAAAGGAAGAAAAATTAAAACAGCATTAAAATTTAGTACTTTTTGATTAAATTTTATTATTATGCTGTCAAAGAATTATGCAGATATTCTGTGTCAAATACACTAATTAGCATACAGGTGCAAGTCTGAGGAGCTGTGATTTTGAAGCATATGAGGGTTTTTTTGGCAGTTTTTGTGTTCATACTCCTTTACAACATTTTCTGTGTTTCTCGCAAGGGTTGGATAAATTTTATAAGAAATGAGGTAAAATGAGTGGTCTTGAACGTATGGATGATGGAATGATGTGGAGAATTGTTGGTAGATTGGATGCAGGCCCATTACAAGTGCAGATAGCTACAGAAATAAATGTTCTGGGTTCCTGTTAATGGATGACAGTACCTCAGCTCATCAACAGTTGCTTAAAAATGAGGAAATTGCCATAAATTGTTCAGCCGTATTTCCTTATTTTAATGCTGTGGAACAAGTCTAGGACATTCTTGGAAGATAATTTTATCTTGCTATCCTACTTTCATGCATGAGAGAAAAAAATATGCCATAAATGTGCAATACTATATGTAGTTTTATTCTGTGTTGGTAATGTTTTATTGTACATTATTTATTTTATGGTAAATGAGTGTTGAACATGCGTAGTGTTCAATATAATTTGCAGTGTTGCATATTCTTAATTGGATATTAAATGGACTGTCTATGTGGATTAAATCAGTTTGGAAGTGAAATTCTAATGTAGAATATAAAATCAGATTAAAAACTAGACTTGAATAAAGCTATTAGAGCATAGACATAGGTCTCTCTTAGGAGCAGATTTTTTTCGCCTATAGAGAAAAAGGACATATGTCTGATCACCCTTGAAATTGATAGGTTTGCTGAAAACCTACACTAATCTAAGACCACTTTAATTTTGAAGTCGATTAAATATTTTAGAACTGTTACATTATTTAAATTTCAAACTATTATAGAAGCATATCTGAAGATACTGACTTTTCATTTCTATTCCATTGTAATAAAATGAATGATGTTATGTGTCTTTTTACTGTAGTCTGTTAACAGAATGAGGCTTATTTTTTTTTCTTTTTATAATCTATCCATTTGTTGGATTACCACTTTTAATTTCCTTCAATTATCTTTTCTTTGTGTTCACAATTTAGCTAACTGTATGATGCAGGAATCCTGGGTTTTGGCTTGTGCCAGTGTTTGACAATACTTATTAATCATTGTTAGCTTTTCCTCTAAAGTAAACTGTGACTATATTTTGTTTTTATGTAGTAGTCATCACTTTAATTAATATCATGGAAAAATTCGTAAACATTGTAAAAATAAGCAGATTGAAAATCAGGCACTTTTTAGTAGTCTGCATTAAATGTGTGATATTTATTGAATAATAATCTGATAGAAGACAAATACATGAGATGTTCAGTTTTAAACAATAGGGGAAGTAAACAATAGTCGTTAAAATATCCAGATAATATATATGTTATTGCACTAATCTCTTGGAAGTATTTTTTTTTTTATTATTTTCTGAAACTTTAAAATATTGTAAGAATTACCAGAATGATGTAGAAGCTTAGCTAGCAAGCATGGTTTGCAAGCTGGTGCCACTCGACTGACTCACAGTATTGTCATAGTTCTCTGATTTGTAAATTAGCACTATATGTGCAACATGCATTGAAATGAAATGTGCTTATGTTTATGTCTTATTCAAAATTTATCTAAAATTTGTACATTTAATTTTCTGGTATGTTTTCAGTGTGTTCCTTATCTGCTGGGAAGTTTGGAACTATAGTGAGTGGCTCTTGGGACAAGACAGCTAGAGTGTGGTCCGGTCAGCAGTGTGTTTTAGTGTTGGATGGACACCAACAAGCAGTATGGGCTACAGATATGTTTCCTACTCAAAATCTTATCTTAACAGGATCTGCAGATCATACAATTCGTCTTTGGCGCTCCGGAACCTGTGAAAAAGTTTTTACAGGTGAATATACTTTGCTTATTGCTATATTTACAGTTTACTAAAAATGTTATGCATTCATCTTTTCTGTTTTTAATATTGGATGAAATTTCCAATTCTGTAATGTATTATTATGCTAAATATAGTTGAGTGACAGCCTTCATTAAATTGCCGTGATCCTCTTGGAAAGGAGGCATTCTTGAATACAAGCAATAGAATTTATTAATATAATTGTTATTATTATTAATTTTGTGACTTATAAAAAATGGCTTGTTACTCAAACTTTTTATGCAAATGCATGAATTAGGTATCAACTGAATATATTGATAGCTTACATTTATTATTACAATGAGTGGTAATTTGGAAAACATGGAAAACTCTTTTGTAGAATGTTATACTGATAAACCATTATATTCCATCCTTCTAATACCATTTTGCTCTACCTGTGTCATGAAAAATAGCTGCGATCTTTTTGCATGGATTATTAAAGTCATTGGTAAGTATCTAGTTGAAGACTGTAGCAGATTTGCGGTTTCTTTAGATTACAAAGAGGTAGGAGGTGAGCTCTAAGCTGATGCTGCATTACATTCCATATGTAGTCAATAAGATTAATATCCATTCAGATAAGAGGCCAAGACATCAACTGGAATCATAGTATTACTTCAAAACTAGTGTAGCATAATTCTGGCATTATGACAGATTTTCTTTCTGAGAGTGGGGAAGTCAATTTCATGAAAAAATATAATTGGTTAGCAGTGATAGTCACATGGTGTGTTCCGGTTTGACTAGGAACTTTAACTATGCCGATGTTCCGGTTTGATTAGAAACAAACTTTTCTCTGCCTCAGAATGGCAACAGTGAGAACTTGACTTTCGATTTGTTATGACGCAGCTAGAACGCTGCTCCTGAGATGTAACATTAGATTCGATTCTAGATTAGATTAATTTTAGTATTTTAATAAATCTTTTAAAACTAGATTGAGTATTTGATCGTAGAATTATAGCTGAACCATCGCTTGCAGAAATTTAGATGTGGCATTTAGATACGGCATTAGATAGATAGTTAGATGCGTAGACAGCGACATTCGTGATTCGATTAGTGTACATTAGTGCGTACATAAACATGGTGTATGGCTGTCATGTTACATTTTACAGTAATTTTCAGGGACATCACTGAAAACACGTTTCAAAGCAAAATCTTTCAACCACTGGTCTGTTAATGTCATGTGATATTTGTATTAATTAACTGTTGTCCTGGAAGATGGCATATCTTGACATAGTCATGTTGTAAAATAAATAGCTTAATAATAAAATAAATAGGCAACTCTTTTCTGTGTTGCATCATAATATTCATGCAATTTTAAGTATTGATTATTACATTTGCCAAAGGACTGTTGGGCAGTACCAAGCAATAAAGATTAATCTTATGGTGGGGCTCAGCCATTGACATTAGTTGACATTGACAAAACCCTAGTTGACAAGCCTCCTTGCTGTCGATGCCTTGCATTGGTAAGCATTGATGCTGGGCTGACAGAGGCATTTTGTGGCTTAATGCTATATCCAACAGAGTCAATATCTTCTTAAACAGAAGCCCAATCATTAGATCATGACATCACGAACTTGGGGCTAACAATTGCTGTAGGTCACTATCTTCCTGCTCTAAAAGCATATGTGTTCTTAAAGCTTTACTAACAGAATGGTTTCTTCTAATGATGCATATGTATACTATTTCGTTTACTTATATACACAGAGAGAGAGAGAAAGATGAAAATATATATTTTCAATTCATTCATGGATATAATATTGGAAACATAGTCATATGTACATGTACAAAAATTACATCATAAATTATTAAATGGTGTATGCTGTTATATGTTAAATAAGTAATTAAAATGTTTTGTGTTAAATAATTGTGAGTGTTAAATAAATAAAAAATAAAATAAAAAAAACTGAGTGTATATATGTTAAATAAACAATTAAAATGACATTTCAAAGTGACGGTTGGTCGAGGTTGTAAGATCACCTTGGACAGCGATACACAAAGCAACACGTTTAGGTACAGAGTCAAGGAGATTATGGATGATGTCCAATCACATCCCAAATGTGTTCGATTGGTGAGAGATCAGGACAGAACGGTGGCCTGGGAACCATCTGTACACTTTGCAGAGCACGTTGGCTTATGCGAGCAGTGTGTGGTTGGGCGTTATCCTGCTGATAAAGGGCATTGGGCATTCCTTGAAGGTAAGGGAGTGTCACTGGCCACAGCACACCATCCACGTATTGGTGGGCTGTCATAGTATCCTGAATACGAACTGGTGGTGTGGTGTATTTAATTATGGCAAAGCACACTAGGGCTATCTGCCTAAGGGGACGGATGCCTTTCGTGGAGGACTTTCTAAGGGAAACTGGCTCGTATACACGTTACACATGGGGAAAACCACGAAAACGCCCATGCAGCCAGCCCGTTCGCGGGATTCGAACCTCGGACCGAACTACCAGTGTTCATCGACTTTACCGCTCGGCCGCTGGTGGGCCCGAATACGAACTGGAATTGTATGTAATTGCACCCCAAACTATGGTGCTGTGTTGTCGCTCAGTGGGGCATTTGACAGTTGCTGCCGTATTGGAGCTGTCTCCACATTGATGCCACACTAGTATGCAGGAACTATCATTTGAGAAATGGCATGATTAATCTGAGAACGTGAACCTGTGACATTTCGTCTTCCACATTTCTCAAGCCCGGCACCATTGCAGACATTGGCATCTATGATGTGGAGTCAGTGGCAGTCTTCTTGATGGACAGCACAAGTGCAGTCCACTAACCACCAATCGACGGCTAATGGTTCTGGTCTATCTCCACATTGATGCCACACTTATATGTGACGACTGACATTGGAGAAACAGAAGCATGACTCATCTGAGAACACAGCCCTTGCCATTCCATCATTCACATTGCTCAAGCCTGACACCATTGCAGACATAGGCATCTGTGATGTGGGGTCAATGGCAGTTTTCTTAACTGATGCCATGAGTGCAGGCCACTAGCAATCAGTTGACAGCAAATGCTTCTAGTCGATACGGGAACATCGAGAATGAAGGTAGGTGGCTCGGAGCTTTGTCGATCCACATGTGCTGATGTCACTCTGGCTGCACTGGTACCCCTTGAACTTGCCACATTTCCTTGTTCCAACCATTGTCACCACAACCGTTGCACTGTGGATGTGTCTAGGTGTGTGTCAGCTGAGATTTGCCATATGGACCAACCTGCACTTCTCAGTCCGATCACCATTCTGTAAATTTGTCTGTCTGCTGGAACTGCCTCTGTTGACAACTTCCTGGCATTCTCTGCTATTACATGCGTCCTCTTAGATAAGAACAAATTTTCTACTGTGATTTCCCCAACAGAGATAATGGCACGAAAATTGAACATTCTGCAGGCTCCTTCCCTTATATCTTCAATATGCACTGGAGATCTGTGCATTTCACATCATTCACATAATTAAGTGATGTGTGTCTACCTTGAAATTTGCATAATTTTCAGACCACTCCTTCTTGGTGTTGCATTTTCAATGTCGGGTAGCTGTATGTACATGTCATTTGTTTTCAACTGTTCTGATATTTTCAGATTTGTCTTTACTCCACCTACCAAGAATCGACACAAATGTTCTGGACAACTCAGTTCTTATACTGCAAAAAATAGGTTTGAGAAAAATGAAGTAATTTATGCACCTTCCAGGAATTTAATTCGCATTCTCAAAACAATGCTACAAAATACAAGAGTAAAGCTCTGCCGAAACAAGGTTCTCCCAAAAGTAAAAAAAAAATTGCTTGATAAGGGATATATTTTTCCGATTACTGCAAGTTTATATTGCGAAGAACAAATATTTATGTTTTTGTCTTTGGACCTTAACAAAGCTTTTTGCTGTTTTGCAAGCTCCATTTTGCCATCATTCCATATTTTTAACACAGTTCTACATTGCAGAATTCCATTAATTCATGCATGAGGTATTTCTCCCGCCGTCTTAGCATGCCTTTGTGGCTTAATGGTCAGCACACTTGGCATGTAATCAAGAAGTCTGAGTCCTGTCGAGGGAATTGCTAATTTTTCTAGGATTTGGTGATTGGGTCCCCCAGTCCCCAGTCGCCCTTTAAAAGGGGGACTATATAAGGTATTTCTCCCACCTTAGCATGCCTTTGTTGTGTAATGGTCAGCACACTCTGTGCATATTCAAGAGGTCTGAAGTTTGAGTCTTGGCAAAGGCATTGCTTATTTTTCATGTCTCTTGCTTCAAAGTAACCTAATGTCTCTATACATGTTTTGCAATCAATGATTAGTGATTTGGTTAAAGTGTTATTTAATGATTAATGAAACTGATTAGAGTATTTTTCTACATTGCTGGCCACCTAAATGCAACACCCTGAAGGAAGCATGAGAATTTCAGCGCAGATACACATCGCGTGCGCCTGTGGCGCCACTTCAAGTGCTATTTAAGGCTTAGAGTTTCAACGATTTCAAGTTCGGCAATTGGGTTTTTCTTGTGTTTTTTTCTCAAAAAAAAAAAAAAAAAGGTCAATTATGCCACGTAGTAAACAGCAATCATCGTTTGATCAAGTATCCGAGTTCAACAGAGGAAGAATAGTGGCCTACCGACGAGAGTGTGGATTATCTTTCAGAGAAATCGGTAGTCGTGTTGGACGAAACCAAACAACTGTAATGCGGATATGTGACCGTTGGATACAGGAGGGTACGACGGACCAACGTGTTCGATCGCATCCACCTCAATGCACCACTTCACGTTGATGCATAAGCAAAGTTTAAAGTTATTAAAACATTTAGCAGAAATAGCAATAAAAGCTCCCTAAGGTTATATACTGTGCAGACATTGAAGACAAATGTTATTAACTTAACCAATTTATTAACAATATACATAAAAATAAAAGTACAATAAATAAGTTTGATCAATACCAGAAACTCAAAGAGTGTAACATTATCAAAAATTACATTTAGCTGACTATTCATTAACC